CTATACGGAACCGTCATTTACGCTGACGTGCCTTTCGTCTCGGCCACAAAGGAGCATTTACTGCTTATAAACTTCAATCTTCCATGAATCTCGTACATTCATAACTGCTCTGGCGTATCAAATGTAAACAAATGACGTCATATATTAAGAAATGGACAAGTTTATAAAAAAGAACGTTAAACATAAAAATGTCTTTAATAAATAAATTGTCGGACTTTGTCCATTTTAATATATATATATATATATATATATATATATATATATATATATATATATATATATATATATATATATATATATATATATAAGGAAGCATATACAAACATATATAGTAATTTAGTTATTTCTTCTTCTTCTAATTCTTTTCTATCGAATGTCTTATCCTTTTGAATTGATAATATCGCCATACGATGCCTCATTTAACTTCTATCAAATGTTAATTCTTACTTGTGAACGTTCATGTTGATCTTTTCAATCTAAAGATCTCTATAAGATCACTGGACACTTCTGTTGATCGCATACTGAAAGTGCATTTTTAATTTGCTGTTTAAAATGGGTACGCGAAATCAGGTTTAAATCAGGCAACGTTCACATGATGCCGAATAAATTAACAACCTTATCATGTCAAGAAAATTGGACGTGATTATTTCTGATGATTTGAAAATACGTTCCTTCTTTATTTTGGCATAGACTTCGATCATCATTTTAATACATTCCAATAGCGAAACTATTGATCAAATGAGTGAAAAGATATTTGGCTTACATAAAAAATGCCTCATTCAGCTTGTGTTCAGCTTACACACGAGGAACAAGATGGATAGTTGAGGATACTTGCGCATTTAAGGATGCAAGTGATATTATCTGGGCCTAACTTTATCACAAAAATATTAAACTCTGGATACAAACTCTACAAAACAACCACCTGATATCGAGAAGTAGTGAAAAGGAAATGGATTACATATATATATATTAAGACATTTTTTATGTTTATACGATCTTTTTATATATACAAATATTTAAGTAAATGCTCTGTTTATAATAAATAGTATTAACAACATTTATCGGCCTGAACATCCGAGAAAAATTTCATAGCGAATATGCGTCCTCCGACAGGAATCGAACCTGTATTAAATACGGAACCATCATATAGCCTGACATGCTTTTACGGAGTGAGCCACAAAGGAGCGTTTTGGTTAGCAAGGTCGATTTTACAGTTTTTAAACTACAATTCTCCATGATTTTCTCTCATTCATTCATAACTGTTCGATGCGTATCCAAATGTAAAAAAATGACATCACACATTAACAAATGGACTAAGTCCGACAACTATTTTTAAGGCAATTTTTATGTTTATACGTTTTTAATTCTTAAAAGCACGTCAGGCAATATGACGGTTCCGTATAGGATACAGGTTCGATTCATGTCGGAGTACGCATATTTTCTATGACAATTGCTCGTACATTCAGACCGGTAAATGTTGTTAATACTATCTATCTATATATATATATATATATATATATATATATATATATATATTGACATTGTCTAGTGTACAATATGTATCCATTTACATCAGATCCTGTTTAACGGGGGCGTCTGGGACTAAAGACTTAAGGCACTGGACGATTTGTTTCACCCTCTTCTGATGTTTTTAGTTCTTTCTTTTTTTTATTTCCAATTGTTTCCTCGGGTACTTTATTTATCTTCTTTTTTTTTTTGACATATCTACAAGTTGAGCTTCCGAGTTTATTTCCAAACTAGTATTACTATTAGTATAATATATATATATATATATATATATATATATACGAATAGAAATGTAAAACACGCCTAAAATGCTCAATACAAAATTCAAAATCGAACATGTAAAGCAAAGTTATTTTTTAAAAAAATGCTAAAATGCCAACGAACCTCGCAACCTGGGTTTTGACCATGATGTATCTTCAGGCAAGTGGAAGTGTTGCGAGGTTGGTTCATTTTAACCTTTTCTGATATATATATATATATATATATATATATATATATATATATATATATATATGAAAACGTTCTGAGTAAAGTGCCACTCTGCCGGAAGGTAGAGAATTCCGTCAATGGATTTATTTCGCAAGGACACATTCGGGAGAACAAGGCAGATTCACGATCAGAGTCAACGGAGCTAGAAACAGCCGGTTGACGAGTAACAAGCAGATGATAGTTTTGGACAGGAGGCATTCCTGCTCTTCGCTGACCGTGTAAGGGCAGGTGGCTGTTGAAGCTCTCACTGTCTGAAAGGAATGTCTGGTCAGTTAGTCTGTCGTGACAGAAGACAGAACTAGCAGCCAAGATGGCATTTCTTTTTTTTTCTTTTTTGTCCACAGAGACGCAAACAGGAATCGAACACTGGAATGGCACAGAAGCTGACCAGTTTATGGAGAAATGACCGCAAGCCGCAGTCGAATGTTGACAACAGTTGCAATATTTCCATGGATTTTGCAGAGAATTATCGTTGTCCACGATGCGATTCTATTGGCAAAATTACGAAGCCCTTCACAATCCATTTGCAATATATCACAAAGAAAGGGGTGACAAGCTGGTGTTTGAAGGTTATTGTTTGAGATCGGATAATTTTAAACATGACCGACATAGAATCCATTGAATTATTTCCTTGTTGCTTTGTACCAAACGTATTAAACTTTTATATATCAGGTAGCGAAAGCATTTCGCTGATAGAGCAATTTCACAGGATAAAGATTTCATGTTCCTCATTAATCTTACGCAACATGAAAAGGATCAAGATCTTAATGCAGCGCATGATTACTTTGGAATGTCATGAAGCGATGCTGTGTGATGGTTAAAGAGGAAAGATCAAAAGAGAAGCTACTAACGCTAGCTTGACACCAGCTGCTGAAGTTCAAATGTTGATAACGAAGGAATTATTTACTAGGTGAAAAATATATAACAACTCATATAACAAATATGTTGATCATGAAAAAAAAGGGTAAGGTTTGAATATAAATATCATTCATGATATCAATTTTTATAAATCTTTCATTCCTGATCTACTATCTCAATCTATCTATCTATCTATCTATCTATCTATCTATCCCATTCCACATATATCTATCCATCCATCTATCTATCACAGTCTGTTTATATCTATCTATCTATCTATCTATCTATCTATCTATCTATCTATCTATCATATTCTGTTTATATCTATCACATTCTGTTTTTATCTCTCTATCAATCTATCTAAGCCAGTATGTTCATATCTGACTCCTTCCATATCTATCTATCTATCTATCTATCTATCTATCTATCTATCTATCTATCTATATATCACAATCTGTTCATATCTATCTATCTATCTATCTATCTATATATCTATCATCTATATATCAATCTGTTCATATCATCTATCTATCTATCTATCTATCTATCTATTCATCTATCTATCTATCTAAGCCAGTATGTTCATATCTGACTTCTTCCATATCTATCTATCTATCTATCTATTCATCTATCTATCTATCTATCACAGTCTGTTCATATCTATCTATCTATCTATCTATCTATCTATCTATCTATCTATCTATCTCCCACAATCTGTTCATATCTATCTATCTATCTATCTAAGCCAGTATGTTCATATCTGACTCCTTCAAACCTATCTATTTTATATTCATATATGTTTTCTCTGTCTCTGTACACACACAGACACACACTCTCTCTCTCTCTCTCACACACACACATACACACACACACACTGTCTCTCTCTCTCTCTCTCACACAGACACACGCACACAAACACACACACACACACTAACAAACAGGCTCACAGACATTGACACACACGCACCCCTCCCCGTAATGCAGGGGTACGTGTAGGAAGATGTCCTCGTTCGATGCCCGTAGTAAATGTTTGTAAACCATCGCCTCTATCAGTTCGACCGCAGTTTGGATCATAATTTCACGATCATTCCGACGGGTGCACAGTATCAGCTTCGCAACGGCTACAGTCGATTTTAGAATTCATAGTTTGTCTCTCTCCTAGACTGGCTGACAACCCTGTCTATCCTGCTATTCAACCCATTGTAGGAAATTCTATTTTTCCTAGCAGAAACGCTTTACTAATGAAAAAGAATTTCCGGTGATATTGTGTTTTAAAATCATTCTTTTATACATGTCAACTTGATCACAAATATGAGTCAGTATCAACGAAGTGAATTCATTGCATGCGTCTTTTGGATACAATGGGTTCATTCCGGAGTCCTCTTAAAAAAAAGCAAAAATCTTTATTTTTTCCAAATAAATCCAAAGTTTTATTAACATTTAATTCTATCAATGAACATGAAGCTATTCCATTCGTCCTTTGTTGGAGAAACAACCCTTTGATTCGAGGTGCACGGCCACAGTCAATGTAAAAGCACAACCGGCCTCTATTTTCACATTTAAGAAAGGCACACCCTCTCGTTTCAGATTTTTTCTCGAAATATATATATATATATATATATATATATATATATATATATTATATATATACATTTCACCCCAAGCAAGCCGAGAAGCCACTAGGACGCAAGGGGTTACAGAAAATTTTGAGCAAGATCAGATAGGAGTGATAGAGGAAAAGATGAGAAGGATAGTGGATAGATCAAGGCAACTGGAGATGTCGATTGACATTACATCTGAATAGCTGGAGATTATAGCTAGCAGGGAAACTGGAATAAGGAAGGGAGTTCCACAGGCGAAAGGTGCGAGATATGAAGCTATTGGAGTAGAAGAGACGGCTACATTTAAGAGTTTCGACAGTGAAGGGGTGAGAGCGGGATGCCAGCCTCGTAGGGCGCTTGAACTCATGACGTCTGGGAACCAGCGAATGCAGCCCCTCGGAGCAATTGCCATGAAAGTATTTGTAAAACAGACAGAGAGAGGCGACGGCGCATCTGTGAGAGAGTGACTGTAGACGAGATGCCAGAGCAGGGCCAATTATATTGCATATCCGCCTCTAAAGCCTATCAAGAACCCCGAGGCAAACAGAGGGGGCTCCAGACCATATATGGCAGCAATACTCCATGTCTGAAAAGAATGAAAAAAAGAAAGAAGAACACAAATGAAGAAGGTATAAAGAAAAAAAATAAAAGAGAAAGAGAGTAAAGGAAAAATCGAAAGAAAAGAAAAACGATAAAGGAATGGAGGAACGGAGAAAACACGAAAGAGAAAGAAAAGGAAAGAGGGAAAAGGAAAGGGTGAGAGAAAAAAAGAACATGAAAAAGAGGAATAGACAAAAGAAAAAAATAAAAAAGAAACATGGAATAAGGAAAGAGAAAGAAAAAGAGAGGAAGAAAAGGAGTGATAGAAAGGAAGAAAAGAAAAAAGCAAATGGAAAAGGAATAGAGAAAGAAAAGATGAAAACAATACAAAAGGGTGAGAGAAAGAAAAGAAGAACGAAATAAATACATGTTAAATTGGACAAAAAGGGGGGGGGAAAGAAAAGAGAAAACAGAACAGGGAATAGACAAAGAGAACAAATGAAAAAAAGAAAGAAAATAATTGCATAAATGATAGAGGAATAGAGAAAGAAAAAGATAGAAAGACAAAGAAAAGGAGAAGAAGACAAAGAAAAGAGTGAGATTAAAAAAAAACGACCAACACAAATTTATGGAAAGACAGAGAAAGAGAAAGAAAAGAAAAGCAAGAAATAAAAAGAGAAAGAAAAGGAGAACAAAAGAAATGGATGGTACAATAGAGAAAAGAAAAGAGACAAAAAGAAAGAGAGGGAAACATGAAAAGAAGCAGAGAAAAAGAAAGAAAGAAAGAAAGAAAGAATAACGCAAAGAGATTGAGAAATAGAGAAAGAAAAAAGAAAAAAAGACAAAAGAAGAGAAAGAAAAGAACTCAAAGTGATACAAGAAGAGAGAAAATGAAAAAAAGAAGTATTACGGGAACAATAAAGATGGCGGAATACTTGTGATAAAAGAAAAGCATATAAAAACAACAGAGAGGAAAAAAAGAGAAAGAGAGACTGTAAAATGAGAATGGAAATTAAAGAGAGAGAGGGAGGGGAATGGACGAAGATTTATGACAGATATATTTATTGGATGTCATCAATCATTTTGTCTGGCAACAAATCTAAAACGACTTTTCATTTAAACTCCGGCTTCTTTCTTATTGTAGAGTTTGACATCACCTTTTCTGTAAAGGTCTTTAGGTCAGAAACGTTAAGCAAAATATGAGAGAATTACCAAAAATAGTGCCTCGGCTGCCAAATATTAAGCATGCACTTTTGAAGCCCACTTCATTTCTGGTTTTCTCTGCTATGCAGGGCTGGACGGAATGTACCTCGTCGCAATCAAATCAGTGGTTATCATTCTTTTTTAATCATATCAACCTATGCAAGTCAGCAAAGCCACTAAAACCCAAGAGGTTACTGAGTATAAAAGAATAAGAAAAAAAAAGAGTAATATTATCATGGAGTAAGAACAATAGAAGAATAACTAGAAAGACAGTAGATATCGATTTACATTGCATTTAAATTTCTGAAGATCAAAGTTGGCTGGAAAGCATGAAGCCGGAAGAGAGTTCCACAAACGAGAAGAGTGAGAAAAGAAATTTTTAGCATAAAACTTCCGTTACTTCTAACAAATTCAACTGTAAATTGAGGAGACCTCACCGCCAATCTAGTACTGCGCTTAGCGAAGAGTTTATCCAAAGAATGACCATGAAAGTATTTATCCAACAGATATAACAGATTACGGTAGGGAATAAGACGAGAAGATCATGAACAGATTTTATAAAATAAATACAGGAGGAGCACTGGACCAAATGTGGCAGCAATATTCAAAGCATGGATGAATGGTCAGGTATTATTCACATGGGAACGGGTGTGGCTGTTTAAGCGCTTAATTGATTTTAGATCTTCGACTTAATGACAATAATTATTATGAACAATTTCTACACTGCAAATCCAATAAAAGAAAAACTGTAAGAACATTAGAAAACAGAATAAAAACTTCTACATTTTTTCTTCAATGAAGCATGTATAAACGAAAGGCTAGTGCTCATCTTCGTTAAGATGAATCGAGTTTTCCTGTCGCTGGCGTGTCTGTCTAAAAAATAAATACGTCTAAATTCACCTTCTTTCCTGCCGTGAGCCTATGGCTTAGGAGTAAAATTTCCTACTGATATCAAAGATGCCGGGTTTCTATCCCGGCTTGAGACAATCGTATGCCTAGATGCACTTTTTAAATTAAACGTTTGAATTGTACTCTATTCGTTCTCGTCTTATCTGGATGGGGATATATATATATATATGTGTGTGTGTGTGTGTTATCAAATTATTTTCAGATTTAGTGTATCTGCGAAGAAACAAAATGAATAAAAAGAGACAAGAGGAAAAACTCTTCTTAGCGGCCGCGTTCCGCCCTCTGAAAAGGTAGAATTTATTTTATTGCACGTGCTTATAAGGAAGAGAAAGTCTCTCATTGGTTTATCAAGGTTTTTAAATTTCCGAACGCTCATGAATATTCATCAGGTAGATGTATATGTGTTCGTGTGTGTGTGTGCGAAAAACATATCGGCTGTCAAGAATGATTTATATATTTGTTATCAGTTTAACCTTAGAAAAATATGATTAATTTCCAGACTTTTTAAAGAAACGTTGTAATTCTATACCGAATTTTAAAAAAATGATAGAATCTTCAAAAAACTAAATCCAAAATAAATTGTCATCTTTTGTCTGTTGAATCCTGTTCTTTACTTGTCCTCTTTCCTTAATAACGTTTTCTCTGTTTCTTTCACTATCGGTCACCCCTTGCATCTCCTTGGCTTGATTTGGTTTATTTTGTTTTTACGGCATGTCAACACCTCAATGGGTTATTTAATGCCGACAAGGTTTTTAAGTTTGGTATGAATATATGGATTCTTTGTAAGAATCCGCTTTGTAGATCAGACTTCATTGACGCATTTTTGGTTTTGTTTGTTTTTCGACATATCAACACATTAATGGGTTATTTAATATCGACAAGATTTTTAATATAGGTTCATATGAATATAATATGTATTCTTTGTTAGATACTAGTTTTTAGATCAGAGATGTTTTTGGTTTTGTTTATTTTTTTTTACGGTATATCAACACCTCAATGGGTTATTTAATGCCGACAAGATTTTAAGATAGGTTCATATGAATAAAATGCTTACTCTTTGCAAGAAACCTGTTTGTAGATCAGGTTTCATTGACACATTTTTCGGTTTGGTTTATTTTATTTTACGGCATATCAACACCTCAATGGGTTATTTAATGCCGACGAAATTTTTAAGGTAGGTTCATATGAATATAATATGTATTCTTTGTAAGAAACCAATGTGTAGATCAGGTTTCATTGGCGTATTTTTGTAAAGAGGGTTTTGTCGATTTTTTTTTTTTTCAAAAATGTATTGCTGGTATTTTTACTATAAAAATCTATTTTTATACTTCAATAGTGTGTTGACCCCAGTTTATGGATTAACTATTTTTCTCCAGCTGGGACCCTAACAGGTGCTACCACCCCGGGTCAGGATAAACGTAGGAACAACAGCAATTAAGAGGAGGTTACACGCTCCATCAGAACCTCCCTAAAGTCCCTTTACAATTTAAAAAAATATATTACAAACCAGTTGATGTGGCACCACAAATAGATGACCTTTAACCCACCATCATTTTCCAGTAAAGTGGTGCACCACCACATTGGAGGGACTGCATGTTCTTGGGTTCCTAAATCAAACATTTCCAGACCAGTTATCAGCCCCTGGACTTTTTATTCAAAGTTATGTTAAATATATCTTTTATCGAAAAAAGATACGGGACATCAATGATCTAAAGCAAAAGATCACTGATGCCATTACCACCAGTGATGCGTCTATGCGTCAGCGAACATGGCCAGAAATCGAGTACCGTCTTAATGTGCTTCGTGCAATTAATGGCGCCCATATAGAGGTGTATTAAATTGGTTAAGAAAAACTTCAAAATCTACTCCTCATTTTGTAACAACTTCCACATATCTTTTGCTTTTGTAATAATTTTTTTTTTAATTTTGAAAAGACTTTATAGATACCCTATATCTTAACTGGGTTACATTACTCTCCATTGAAAAGCTACTGAGTTAAAAAGATGATAAATTACAAGAAAATACAGGATCTCCATAAACATAATGTACATCCCTCTGCATATCTCTATTGCTCTTTCCGACGTCATTCCGATTATAAATATAGCATTTCATTTTATTCTATGCTCGCTCAACAACGGGTGAAAATACAGGGTGTCCATAAAGCCGCTTTACAATTTAAAAAATATATTACAAAGGCAATTGATGAGTTATCTTAATAAGATTTGTTTTATATATTCAGTAGTTATCAAAGTTTTTAATCACATTATATTTGTGTCTTTCAAGTATCCTTTTGATGAAAGAGGTGCTGTTAACAGTGTTAACTTATGAACGGCTAACGTTTCCAAACCGGCGGATTGGAAGAATGACTCAATTCCTTGGCCACCTCGTTCACCAGATATCACACTCTCCTGGACTTATTTCTATGGGGTTATGTTAACGATATCGTCTATCAAACAAAGATACGGGACATCAATGATCTAAAGTAAAAGATCAATGATGCCATTGCCACCATTAATGAGGCTATGTTACAGCGAATATGGCAGGAAATCGAGTACTATCTTAATGCGCTTCGTACAACTAATGGCGCCCATATAAGACGTAGATTAAATTAGATTTTTTAAAAAAATCAATATCTACTCCACATTTTCTAACAATTTTTACATATTTGTTCATCTGCTTTTGTAATATTTTTTTTTTTAATTACAGAGAGATTTTATGGACACCCTGTACATTATCATCCAAATCCAGCGTGGCCAAACTAGAATCATGATACACTTACACACATTAACTTATACACTAACGCTACTTTACAAGACAAAATGCATTGAAGTCTGCTTAACCAACCAGAACCAAGCAACACCGAAATTAAAAATACCAGAAATTTTCTCATTCTTTTTTTTTTACCTCCATATCTCATCCTCTGGTGAAGCTTTTACAATGACGCTTATATGAGAGTACTATAATAAAAGCAATCCCTCAAAATGGCTGACAGTTTGTCAGAGGGCGCTCAGTGTGGGCGGACCTGTGGCCGGTTTGAGAATCCATTGAGTTCAGAAAAGATGCCATTTTTTTTCTTCAGCCTAAATAAGGCGGTAAAGCCACTAAGATACAAAGAGGTGACTCAAAATGAGATAAATTGAGAAAACGTTGAGGAGAGTGATCGCAGTTGAGAGGAAAACAAGTCTGTTTGATGCTTGAACACAATCTTCAGGCCATCTTCTTTCTTTTTTTTAATCACCCCGTGCAAGGCAATAAAGCCACTGAGACGCAAGGTGATACTGAGTTTGGAAGAGTTAGGTACAGAAACATTACTAAAGAACGAGAACAAAGGAAGAGCGATCAGGAAGACAGTAGATAGTGATTGACATTACATTAAAATTTTGAAGATTAAATTTGGTTGAAAAGCCTGAAAGAAATGACACTGTTAACATAGAATTTACGGTTACATCTAGCCAGCTCAACTGTAAATTGCTGAGATCTCGACGCCAGTCGAGTACTGCGCTTAAATTCACACAGTCTAGGTACCATAGCGAAGAGCTTATCCGAAAAATTACCATGAAAGTATTTATAAAAAAAAGGCGCAGAAAGGCAACCTTACGGCGGTGGTCAAGGGATTGAAGCCGAACAGCCAGATCAGGATCAGTAATATTGCCGATTCTTATATTATATCGATGAGCGGAAAGAGAAAAAAATAATCAGATGGACAATAGATAGGACTTAATATTTCATTTAAGTTTTTGAGGATTAAAATTGGCTGGAAAGTATGTAGTAAGGAGGAAGTTCCCCAAGCGAGAAGTGTGAGAAAAAACTTATTAGCATAGAATTTACGGTTGCATCTACTGTAAATTGCTGAGATCTCGACGTTAGTCGAGTACTGCGCTTAAATTCAAAGAGTCTAGGTACCATAACGAACAACTGACATGAAAGTATTTATAAAAAAGGCACAGGAAGGCAACCTTACGGCGATGGGAAAGAGATTGAAACCGTGATGCCAGAAAAGGACCCATAATATTGCTGATTCATTTTTAGATATTATAAAGGAGCTTGAGATAAATAGCAGAAGCACTGGAGCATTTGCGTCAACAATAATTCTAAATATGGACGAATGTTAGACTTAAGGAGATGTAAGATAGAC